GTCACGGTCACAAATCCTTTGTTGAGGTCCCACCACCAGGAGGTTAACTCTGACCGTCTCTGTTCTTCCCAGAGATACAGGACACATTCCAAAATGCAATCTTTATATGTATGGGCCCTGCAGCCAGTCACTCCTCCTCTGACTAGCCTTGGGGACAATGGGCAGGTTACTCACATTACCTCTCAAAACCTCAGTCTCCTCATCTTTAAAATGGAGATAGCTACAGACCGTCCCTTAGGGAGCCATTCTGAAGGTTAGATAGTTCTACACATTTGTAGGGTATTTAAAACAATGCCTGGCTTGTGATAAGCCATAAAAATACTGTATATTTTACCCTGACTTTTCTTGAATAAAAAACCCACCAGACTTATTTATTTTATTCTCTGCGTATGAGTGTTTTACCCAGTGTGTATGCAACTGTGCACCGTGTGCATGCCTGGTGCCTGCAGAGGTCAGGAGAGGGTGCTGGGTCCCCTGAGATTAGAATTATAGAAGGCTGTGAACCACCTGTAGGTGCTGGGAACCTAACTCAGGTCCTCTGCAAGAGCAACAAGTGCTCTTAACCTCTGAGCCATCTCTCCAGTACTGTGTGTCTTGTGTGTGTGTGTGTGTTTGTGTGTGTGAAATTTAATTTCATTTGGCATCCTTTTATAGTCAACAAAGCAAAACCACCTTTAAAACTGTACTATACCTTTACTTTTCCACATACTCTTTTAAAATAATACCCACAATTTAGTAATAGAAATCAAAGCATTGTCATGAACTCATAGACCGTGCTTGGTAATTAATCTTATGTGTTTAATTCTTTCTAATAAGAATGCTTCATTTGCTTTAAAGATGCAACTGAAACCAAAGGTGTCCCTTTTTTGGAGTCTGGTTGACTCAAGTATATTTGCTTGCAGACCAAGTTTTAGCCTTTTGGAGAGTGCACCATTTGATGAATTTTGCTCCAGCCATGTAACCATCACTCTATCAAGATACGGAACATGCACATTACTCCCATTCTCCTGTGATCAGCTTTGGAAACAGTTTCTCCCTCCCTTTCTCTTCCTGGTCAATCTTGCCAGATATCCACCCTGGGGATCCTAGTCTCTACCACCTAGCCTTTGCCCATGTTGTTCTTTGCCAGATGCAAACCTTTTGGCCTGGGTACCTTCCACACTTCCTTCAAACTTCTGCTCGCCTCTGCTGTGTGTGGGTTAACTCCCTGCCTGGACTATTCCAGGTCTCTCTGATGAAACTGTGTTGAAATCTCCTAACCACACCAGAATACTACATTGTGGATGGTCATCTGTGGACGGCAGAAACCTGTTTCTTAGGCTTCAGCCTGGAGTCTGTCACTGAGCAGATGGCACCCAGAGGCTGGACAGTGACATAGGATCGTCCTCATAAGGCTGGGGAATGGGTGATTTAGCCGACTGAGGCCCATCTTGGAAGTCCTTAGCCTCAGAGCGCCTTTCATTCCCTCAAAGGCATTGTATTCATGGGTTCTGGAGGTGACTTGTTTCTCCAGCTACTCCTTGGAAGAGCTGAAGAGGCCTGGCAAAAGGGAGCCACAGGTTGGAGTCTGCATCGCACAGCTAGAGGGTGACAGAGGAGGAAGGGGCAGGGGCAGAAGGAAGGCAGAGCTTACACCATGCCACACTCTTCCGTCCTGAAATGAATATTGTGAGAGATTGAACCAAATATTGAAATAGGGAAAGGAACAGATAGGGAGCCCTTTTTGTAAACACTCCTTACTCCTGGGGACTCTGTGATCCTATTGCCCAATGGATAATATTTACAGAACCTATATTTGCCAGCCCCTCCTCTGTGGGGCCCTGTGTCAGGTGCAGGTTCCCATGTAGAAAGTATAATAGCAGCCCCTGTAACACCCTCTGGTGCTCACAAGTCTGCTAAGGGCTTCTTGCTTCTATGCTTTCTCTACTGATAAAGGTGTGGGGAGGAGTTAAATTCTCCCCCTGCTGAGGAACCTTCTAGCCAACAAGTACTCGGAATGGGTAATGGGTAGCCATGTCTTCATTCCTCTTGGGGAGGATCTTTGGGGGTGTCTTCTATAGGGCTTATCTGCATCCCCTGTGACACAAGCCTTGGCTCTTTCCACCCCCCAGCAGCTGCTTGCTTGATACCATGCTTTCTCTGTTGGTTCTTTCCCTCCCCAGTTCTCCACCAGTGTTTCCCAGCTCATCTCCCAAATGAATTTCCATCAGCCCTTCAACCCCCAGCTCTATATCCACAGATTTAACCAACCGATCAGAAACATTTGGAAAGCACTTGTCTGTATTGAGCATGGGCAGACTTTTCCCCCTTGTCATGACTCTCAAAACAATACGGTATCACAACTATTTACACAGCCTTGCGTGGCAGTCAGAGTACGTCATGCAGAGAGGATCTGAAGCATTTGGGAAGACGGGCAGAGGCTATAAGCAAATCATTTTCTATCAGACTCGCCCATCCCCAGACGCTGCCACCTGGTAGAGGGGGTCCTGGAACTAATCTCTGCCAGATGTTGAAGGACTACTAGATTTGAACCAATTCCTCCTGCCGGGATCTGCTTCTGGGACAGTTTAAAGGCCAACGGTGAAGAGGATAAAGGGCCACCCCGCTATGGACAAGTCTTTGGGCCCATGGCTTTGGGAGGTGTGTTCAGCCTTCTGTTTCCCCAGGCACTAACAAACACTAGTGAATGGACGCATGGATGAATGTGCTTACTAACCCCCAGAAGAGTGACTGTCTTAAAGTCCATTTATTCTCCGAGAGGTAAATGCCTAGGCCAACAGCTGGCTAGGAACGGGAATCCTTCAATTTTATATCGAGTGAGTCTCAGTCCTGGAAAATGACTGAGTGTGGGAAGGTAATCTATGTTAATTCCTGCCAACTAATCAGTTTGTGAAGGAACTGCTGAGATTAAAACTAGAAACGAATGGTTTAGATTCAACCTAACCCCTGTGTCTTCTCTCCCTAAAGCTTTACTTTCTACCAACAGCATGTACAGAAGCAATGACCAATCACAGTGCTTGTGGAGAAACTGAGGCAGGGATTCTACGGCCATAGAGTCATCGTCGTTTGGGGCTCTTAGAAAACGACATTTTAGGAGTGGACGGTGGTGGCGCACGCCTTTAATCCCAGCACTCGGGTGGCAGAGGCAGGCAGATCTCTGCGTACAAGGCCGGCCTGATCTACAGAGCGAGTTCTAGGACAACCACAGTTGTTACACAGAGAAACCCTGTCTAGAGAAACAAGACAAACAAACAAACAAATTAGAAAACATTTTAGAGGCTGGAGAGACTCAGTGGGCGAATGCGTGCTGTGAAAGCATGAGGGCCTTGAGTTCAGTTCCCAGCATGCATGAGAGCAATCCAGGCGCCACCTGTAATCCCAGCACTGTAGAGACAAAGACAAGCAGATCCCCAAGATTTCCTCACCGCCAGTCTAGCCAGAGCAGCGAGCTCAGGGTCAGACACAGAACTTGTCTCCAAGAATGAGGTCCCGAGCAACAGATGAAGATGCCTGATATCAGACTTTCACCACCCCCTGCCCTCGCCACGACACAGAGAGAGAGACACACGGAGAATTTCATTTCAAAGAGACTGCCTCTGGCGCAGGCTCAGAGGCATAATTTTAAGAAATACTGTTAAAATGACTATAACCTAAACTTAAGCTGGCATGGGGGATTCATGCCCTTAAACCCAGCACTCAAGAGGCAAGAGCAGGCGGATCTCTGCGAGTTCAACGCCAGCCTGTTATACATAACAAACGGACAGCCATATAATAAGACTCTGACAAAATAAAAAGCACCACAATGCAAAATTATTTCACTTCAACCTGGTTTTGAAGAGCGTGTATTGGGCTGGTGAGAGGGCTCAGGGTAAGAGTGTTTGTCATGCAAGTCTGACTACCTGAGTTTGACCCCTGGAATCCACCGCAGACAGGGAGAACCAACTCTATTGAGTTGGTACATGGTGGTGTGTGCATCCCTCCTCTGAATAGGTTTTGGGTTTGTATTTTTTTTTTTTTATTTTCCAAGAGTGAGTGTGTTGGAGCTAATATTTGGAATACCACTGGATCAATTTCCTGGATTGCCAGAAGATTTTCTTGAGACAGAACCTCATGGTCCCATCACTTGGAATCAAATGTCACAGGATGGATGTAACTCTGCTATGTGGTTTGTACAAGGACGGTATCTCATACAGTCTAGGGAGTGGCCTTCCCTAACAAAATGACACACAGCCCACCTCAATTTCCTTTGTTCTTTCTGGATCTTCCACCTCAGTTCTTTCATTCATTCAAGAAAATACCATCTGGAGAGGAATGTTTGCGGATAAAGCCCTATCCTCCCTGCTCTCACCCCTGTATAACTTGTCTTTAGACCGGGGGGCTGGTGCTTTGTGTGAAGTTACATGGGTTTAAATAAAGCATTTGCCCTGTTGTTCACGGGTTGTGCAATTCTCTGGGTTACACCCATCGCCACCTCAGCCTGGCCATGTGGGGAAGAGCAGCCCGCGGCCACAGGGATTCGAACCACAATCCATCTGCCTAGGCGGAGTCGACTCGGAAAAAGCGGTGGCGTGGAGAGCAGCGGCCCTGAGTGGGCGGGGCCGACAGGCGACCTCCCTAGATGGGCGGGGCGTTAGAGACCCGCCCCCGCGCAGAGCAGAGAGCTGCGCTGCGCGGCTCCGCCCCTCTTCGGCCCCGCCCCCCGCGGCTCCCCGCAGCTCCTCCCCTCTCCCATTGGCTGAGACGTAGGCCCTCCCTTTTACCCAATGGCCGCCGCCGCTGAGCGGCAGTCTGCGACTCGATTGGACAGCTGCCGTTAGAGTGGCGGCTAGTGGACCAATGGGAAGAGGCGGCTCGATGAATGGCTGGTCCGGGTGGGGAAGGCAGGAGGCGGCGATCCCGGCGGAGGGGGCCGTTCGCCAGCTCCGAGGCAGAAAGTGCCACGACTCCACACGCGCGCACGCAGCCAGCGAGCGGCCGGAGCGGACGGCGGACGGGGCGGACGGCGCCGGGGTCGCGGTGTGTGCAGCTGCTCAGGGGTGGCTTCTCGGCGGAGGCTCGGCCGGCTCCTCTCTCGCGGTTCCGCGGCGGCGGCGGCGGCTGCTCTTGCCCTCTCGCTCTCCCTCTCGCGTCTCCCGCTGCAGGTAAGAAACTTGGCCGGGCCCTGCAGCCGCGGCGGCGGTGGAGGCGCGCGGGCCGGGCCGTCGGTGCGCCGGGCCGGTCGCGCCGCGCCGCGAGTGACACGTCTCCTTGGCGGCCCCTCCCCCGGCGGCGCCGGCCCGCCCGCCCTGGCGGTGGCCGCGGCCCCTCGGGTGGGACGGAGCTGCGTGTGCCAGGCCGAGCCCGTGCAGGGGCGTCGGCCGAGCGCGCCCCTCGGGTTAGACCCCCTGGCCGGTCGGCCGGCTGGGAGCTGCGGTGGCCCCGCGGCGCGACGTGGCGACCCCTCCCTCCTGGCCCGGCCGTCGGGCCGGCCCGCGCGCTGCGAAGTTGGGCTAAGAAAGTTGGCGGCGGGGCGGGGCGGCGCACAGCTGGCGAAGGAAGGGGTTAAGTTTCGGGAAGCCACCGGATGACGTTGCCGGGCCGGAGTCCGGGCCGGAGGGGGTTGGGGGGGCGGAAGGCGGTGGGCCGGCCTGGGACGAGGGCTGAGACCCGATGGGCGACGTGGGGCCCAGAGCCCAGTGCTGCGGGCCGCGGCCACCGGACACGTCGGCGGCCCCGACGGGGCGGGCGGGGGCCATGGGGTTCGCCTCGGGTGCAGTCCGGGACTGGCCTTAGCAACTTCCCGGAGTGCGGGATGAGGTTCCCTGCTCCCCCTGGCGGCGGGGCCGTAGCACCGTTTCCCGGCGGGGCCGCGCGGAGCCCGGCGCGAGGGTGCCGGACCCCGCCGGAGTTGGGGCCACCCGGGGTCCTGCCTGGCCTCTCCCTCCCGCGGCCACGATGAATGGACCCGTGGTGCCAGGCCCGAGCGGAAGCAGACACCTCCGGCCAGGCCGGCCAAGCGCGCTGGCACTGGGCCCGCCGTCTGTCCCGGCCCGCCTGGCTTCCCGGCTGTGCCCGGGGCAGAGGCCAGCCGGCCCGCGCTTCCAGCGGTATGGGATGCTATAGGGTCTCCTGCCCGTACTGTAAGCCACCAGCTGGAGTTCTGTTGGTGTCACTCTTCGTGGACGGTAGTCAACCAAGTGTTTTCGCTCAAACGTTTCCCATTTCCCCATCTGAATAAACAAGGTTCCTGTTTGTCCCTCAAACTGAGACCTAGCACACGTAGGGAGTAGCCAGCTGGTATTGACTGTTCTTGTGGGATGTGTGTTGAGGGACGTGGGAGACGGAGGGAAACAAGGTGGTGCCTGGCTCACTCTGTGGACCACGCAGGGCTGCTGAAGTCACACACCTGGATTCCACCCCTCTTGACCACCTGAGGCTCATGTCTCCTAACCTCTGAACCTGGGTTTCCTTATCTCTAGCCTGAAGATAGTACCACCCACTCCATCCCTGGGGTTGGGGAACTGGGCAGGAAGTGTGGGACCTTGTGCTAAACAGAGAGCAGTTTGGTAATAACTCCTGAGGTCAGAGGTCAGGACTGGGAAACACCAAGGAAATGAAACTTTGGAGGATCCTGGAGCCTCCCACATATTCTGTTTGCTAAGTTGGTCTTCTGGTGGGGGTGAGGGGTCCTGAGTGGAATCTTGTGTACAGTCTCACGTTGTAGGCCGAAGTCCATACACTGGACACGGCCTTTTACAATCGAGTATGCCCTCACCGGTCACACCACTTCTTACCTTTCCCCAACTGTTCTTGTTTGTCTTAACTTCCTGCACCCAGAGAAATTTCTGTGATCCATGCTGCCTGCCTGAGAGCTGTCTTAATGTGTTAGTGAACTTTGCAAGGTCAGCCCACTATGGTCTGCCAGCCTGTTTCTCTTGAGAAGCAGCTTCCTGTTCTGAGGGCCTGAGATGCCACTTCCCTTCTGTTTGAGTGCAGGAGAGGTCAGGGCAGACCTCTCAGTCAGTTTTCCACTTAGAGGCCAGGGCAAGCTTGGATTGTCGGGCTCCTGGGCGCGTTGAGTCCTGGAGAAGGCCAAGATTGGGGGACGAAGGCAAGAAGGGAGCTTGAGGTTTGGAATCAGCAAGTTTGTGTGAAGTCGTGGCATGTTAGAACTCTTGGATTTCGTGTATAGGACTTGAACTCTGACCTTCTACCGTGTCTAAGGAGTTAGAGTGATATTGTAATATATGGATTTTTTGTTGTTGTTGATAGGAAACATTCTTCTTTCTTCCTCTTGCCTGCCCTCTCCTTTTCTTCTCTTTCCTCTTCCTCTCATCCTTCCCTCCTCCCTCCTTCCTCCTCTCCTTCCTTTTTTACAGTTTTCAGAACAGAGTCTCAGTCCCAATTGCCATGTCAGCTTAGACTGACCTTGAACTCCTGGTCCTCTTGCCTCTACCTCTTAAGTGCAGAGATTACAGGTGTGCACCCCAACACCCGGCTTGATGGGAGAGTTTTAAATACATCCTGAATCGAGTCACATTTGAGCAATTAAGCTCTTTGCTGAAATGAGCCTTAACTCTACATGCTACAATAATTATAGAGCACCAAACTCAGTTTAAATGGTTGCATGCAAATGATTTAATTGGAATATTGGATTATTGTGTAGCAGGGATACCTTTTAAAAGCACAGGAGCCCAGATCCTTGCTTGTGCCTTTATCACGAGGGCTTTAACTGATAGACACATGACAGACAGATCGAGCCAACAGTGCTTGCCCAAATCTTTTTTCCAGAAGGGGAAATGTCCCTTGTGGGACATTTATACATCCCAGGTTGTTCCTTTATACATCCCACGTCTGCAGTGGTGAAGGCCTTGTAAGCCCCTTTCCACTGAGTAGTATAAACATGGGCTATCTGGCTCCTGGAAGAGGCCAAGATCGGGGCTCTTAAGAATTTTGAAGCCCAGGGTGTCCGTAGTTCATACCGATGAGAGAGACTACCGTCTCATGGTTTAAGTATCTGAATCCAACTTTAAAAGGCTTGCAATTCAGAATCAGATACCACACTGCTGTGGTTGTAGGCATCATGTAGACCCATGTTTAGGGTAGGTGTGGGTGTCACCCATTCAGTAGATGAGAACCTGGAAGCCCAGAGGATAAGAAGGCTTTGGGACCTGTTCCTGTTGCCAGCTGCTAAGTGACATCATTTCTGCTTTTGAACAGGACCACATAATTCTATCCTGCTGGGACAGTAATTACCCAAGAGAGGATACAGAACAACTAGAAGATTAAAATGAGTTTCAGTGGCAAGGTGTAGAGACATTGAAAATTTGTCAGTCCAGAAAGGCACTTGGCATTTCATTCCTTTATGAATAGTCTTTGCTCTAGGCTTTCAAACTCTGTACATACAAATGCATGACACATGAATTTGTGTAATGATGCTGTAGTTCACAACAGCATTGTCCGTACCATCATGTATGGCTGGAGCCACTTACAGCTGTGTAAGTTTAAAGGATGTAAGTTAAGGGGCAGTAACATTCTAACATTACATTTCTTAGTCAATTTGCAAGTGCTGAGTAGTTGCTTATAGAGTTATGTCATTCCCATCGTCTTGGCAAGTTTGACCAGACAGCACCAGGCCAAGGTAGCTGTTTTCTAAAGGTTCAAGTCCCTGTTCCTCCTGATCACATGGAAACATAATAATGTTGAACCAGGTGAAATGTTCCGTTTGTCTGTCAGAACAGACGACTGATAGCAGTTTGCTCACCCAGCTCAGTAAATTGTGACCTTTGGGAAACATTAGTCTTGGGGGCTGGAGAGTTGAGAGCTTTTGATGTTCCTAACAGCACCAACATTGTGGATCATAACTGCTCATTTCTCTAGCTCCAGGGGATCTGACATCTACTTCTAGTCTCTACAGACAGCAGACATGTACATGATTCACATACATACATGCAGGCAATCATATATAAAATAAAAATAAATCTTAAAGAAAGAAGCCCATTCTCAATTCTATGTGCATATGAGGGAAGGGAGTGCATAGGGCAGGGGGGACAGGCATTTTTACCTAAACTAACAGCATGAAGATGGCCAAATGTACCAAATGCAGAAAAAATAAGTAGGCATTAGATGGAAAGTATGCAGCTTGTAAGGAAAGTAAATATTTAATTCTAAGTGAGAAAGCCTGGGCGATGGAGTCTGCTTAGCGTTATAGAATATTAACTCGGAGGCTTCCTAGGAGATTGTTTTCTTAGGCAGGCGAATTCTGAATGAGTCTCCTGAAACAAGCAGGCACACACCCAAGTTTAAAACCAGACTCACCTTCTGCTTTTCTTTTAAATTTTAGTAATACATATCTCTCAACTTTTTGAAATGAACAGCAACTTTATAAAGGGTGCTATATAAATGATGTGTTTCCTGGTTGTTTAGACTGGTCCCCAGCACTCTTGCATTCCGGCATGTGGAGTTCTCTCTGGCTGATAGAAGTTATTTCCTGAGCACTACAGAGACTGCTTGCAGGGCCTATTATACTCTGTATGACTTTGCAAGCTCTTTGGGACTTGGGAAGACTTTTTGAATTCTTGGTTGTACTCATGTCAGTGCTCGGTAGATTGACAAGTTCAAAAGAAACCAACAGTGATGGGCAAGTCGTTATTTTCTGGCTGGTCAGTGAGAAGGTCCACTGAGATGGTTCCGGAATTGATCAGCTTTATTTATAGTGACAAGGAGCATCACCTGACTCAGAAGTTGGATTAAACAACCCTCCTGAATTCAAACCTTTAATTCTGTGCCTTAAGCCTAGACAGGCTGGGAGCCAACAAGGCCTTTGTTAGTGTCTCCAGACTCCAAGCCAGTGAGTGCCCTGTGTGCATTTATTTCTTAGAACAAAAATGACATCTATTTGGCCAATCCCTTGTTACTAAACAACAAAACCAACCTTTTGAAAATAAAGGTTTTTTTTTTCATTAAATTTTAGGTTTTTAAAGTTTTTACAAGAAAAGTGAGAATTTGGTTTGCTTCTTGCCATTTGTGAGCCTTCTGTGCAGCTCTGCCCTGAAGTGTGGCATGTGTCTGGAAGTCCTTGAGGGCCTGTGGGCTGAGTGGGGTCTAATCCCAGGAACAGGGAGCACAACTGCTTTTTCTTGGGCTTCAGTGTACCTTCCCT